TGTGGAAACACTGCCTCTGTGTTGGCAGTGGAGGCTTTCGAAAGACAAGGAGATTTCCTGATGCTGCCAAGTGACTGAAACGAGCTGGGGCTTTCCAAAATTGCCACATTTCAGAGTGTGCTTGAACTGTAGGATCCTCAGACACGTGTGACCTCAGCAGGTGTCCCAAGGTGAGGGGCTGGCACCGGTGTGTGCTGCTCTCAGGTGTGATGGGCACGAGCTGGTGCAGCTGTAGGGCCCTGGATCCCACAGCAGGCACACTCCTCACTGCTCTGTGTCCCCTATAGAGCCCTGGATCCCACAGCAGGCACACTCCTCACTGCTCTGTGTCCCCTATAGAGCCCTGGATCCCACAGCAGGGACACTCCTCACTGCTCTGTGTTCCCACCTGGCCACAGACTTTTATTTCTGTCCTTGGGAAAACCAAAGGGGAGAGGATGTGCTGGTCTAATCCTGAGTTTGAGCAATAGGGACAAGCACAGGCTTGTATCCCTCCAAAGCATCCCCATGCTGAACAGCTTTGCTCAGAAGTGCAATTCTGATCCAATTATAGAATAATTTAAACTGAAAGGGACTTTTTGAAGGTCTCTAGTCCAACCTCAAGGTGCTCAAGGAAGAACTAGCTTCCAGGTTGGGTGGGGTGTTTGGGGGTAGATCTCAGCTGTGTTTTGAGCTTCTGCAAGGATGGAGATCCCACAGTCTCTGTGTCCCACTTGTCTGACTGCATGCACTGAGATTCATCTATTTTTTTTCTTACTTCATACGTTATTTCCTTAGATCTATCACTGTCACAATTGTTTCTTGTTTTGCTGCCCAGCTTTTGGAGGAGTCTCCCTGTTTCTTCTCTAAGTACCAGCAGGTAGATGTAGGCAGCAAATACATCCCTGTTCCAAGCTTTTTGTCTGGCTTGAACCAAACCCAGTGTTTACTGTGCTTCCTCCCACATTGGTCATCTCCATTGGACTTGCAGCATTCTCACTCGCTGCTTAAAAATAGAACTGTACAGAAATAAGGATGTTTCCTAGTGCTGCTACAAAAAGGAGAAAGATGAGTTCCAACTGCCCAAAATACAAAATTCTCTTAATATAAAAATATGACTTTATTGAATCACTAAAATGAAAGTGGCCTTTGCAAGTTTGCCATGAAAATCTGTATTTTAAAGCAACCTTCTGTTCCAAAAAAAGTGAAAATTAAATTGGCAATGGATTTAAAAAAATAATAAAGATGCAAATAGCAAGAAATGCAGTGTTAGAGTGAAGAATGAAGCCTTAAGTCTGCCTTCTTGAGCATAAATTGTGTATTCTATTATATAATTTTAAATTATTTGCCATTTTGTAAAGGCCTTCATGGAGCTATAAAAATTTATGTCATCTGACTATCTGGCTCAGATGGTTGTGAACTATCTGCAACTGTTTTCCTGTCAAAAATTGCAGTATTGCAGTTCAGTTTAGTTGACTTCTGATTTATTTTTTCCCTGATGTAGGTCTACCATCAAAATCAAGGCTGAAGGAAAAACTTTTTATCTAAAAATGTTCTTTAGCAGCTTGTTGGCTTTCATCTGGTTACTGGGGAGATGTGAATGTGACTCAGGGAACTGGACACTCCCAATAGTTTGGGAGGAGAAAAACCTCTCTTGCATGTGGCCTTTGTGCTCATGATGCCACTGGATGTTTCTTGTTTTTCTTGTGGGGAGAGAATTGCTGAAAGTCATCACTTTTGATCATAAAGTACTTCTGGGGATTTTTACAGCTCGACTCACCATGAATTAATGTATTATCCTCAGTCTGCCTGAAACTCAGCTTCTGTTTTTGGGCTAAACTGACAATCCTTGATTTCTTACCCAATTTCTAATGCACACTGTTAACAAGCAGGGTGTGAGTCACGGAGGGTCACTCAAAGATTCAGGAGAGCTCAGGAGCTCTGCAGTCCCCCAGGAGGGGCAGGATCCTGGCTGGGGGCCAGGGAGCATCTCAAGTTCTCAGCAGGCAGCTGTCTCTCTCCAGGAAAAAGTGCTCTGAGCTTTGAAGGGTAAAACAACTAAAGATGAATGCATTTAATTCAAAGGAAAAAAAATAATTGTGTTTATTCCCAGAAAGGTCTGGGTTTTTTTTTCTTTTTAGCAAATGTAATGGTGGTAAATAGTCCCAAAGACATGTGAGCCCCACCTGTGCTGGCTTATTAACCATTGTAGCTTCTGTTTTCCTCCAACTTAGCCTTCTGGAATATCCACAAACTCCAGCATGCCAACCTCTGCTTTAAATAATTCATGTGTTTCTTGATAGACAAAAATGTTTTCCTACCTTCCTTTCCTACCAGTTTAAAATAAACTGGACTTAAAGACTGAAAGGAAAGAATGTGCCAAAAGAAATAATTCTTTTACTTTTTTAAAAAGTAGGAGTGGCATAGAAAAGATCTTGGTTTTGTTGAATGTTTAAATTATCATTTTAAGGACTGTCAGTAGTAGATTGAACTGGAATTGATGATTGACCACAAAATTCAGTATATGTACTTTGATGTTAGCTACTGGAAAAAAAAAAATGTGATGGGCCCATGTTTCAATTTAAAATTATGGAGATGGTTCTTAAATAAATGCAGAATCCATGAATAAATTGTGAATTATTTTTCTGGTACAGTGGTGTGCTTAGAAGACTGTAGCTGAAGGAATTAGTCATAAAGTTTTACCTTGAGGAGACTGAGGGATGCAGTAAAAATGAAAACATATGACTTCAGGCCAGGATCTGTGTAAAATAATAAGAGTATTAACAAAGGAATAGAACAGTTAATTCTGAAGGTGGAGCCCAGTCTTGAGCATTCCTTTAGTCAAATTCCCACATGATTTTTCAAACTAAATATGCAAAATGCAAGAGAAAATGACTCTACTCACCATTTCAGTATACAGACCTGAGCAGTTATAAAAACAGACACTTTTAATTCAGAAGCCTTATCTTGGAGTTGTTTTTTTGTGGTGTGGTTTTGTTTGGGGGTTGTTGGTTTGTTTTTATGACCTAGAGTTAAGTCGTGTCCTGTCCGTGATCCTTTGGCTGCCCAGCATCTCCTTCACTGTGGAAAGGTGATTTGGGAAAATTGTCATTTGGAAACATTACTTTGATTTAAAAGCTGTGCTTTGGAAAAAATATTCTGAAGTATTTAGAAACTTTCTAGAGACCTTTTTTTTTTAATTATTGAGACCAGTTAAGTTGGAAAAAAGTCAACGGTCCAGTGACCACTTGTTCATTCATCTGCATGTGCAGCTGCAAAATTATTTTCTGTGCCCATCGTGCAAAACTTCTTCCTAAATATGAGGTTTACAGACCTTCTGGGAGTAATTAACTACAATGCAGAGGCAAATCTGGGTTCATTGTAGGAACTGCTCATTTAAGAAATATTTTTGTGCACAAAGCACGTTATCAAGGTTTCAAAACCTTCATTAATGTTAAACATTTTATTATAGGACTCTGAGCACTTCCTATTTAAATGAAATCTAATGTAATCTCATTAGTTACATCTAGCTTTTGATACCTGGACCACAGCAAATTGCTGTGTCAGATGTGTGCCACAATGCATTCAACAGCTAAAATCTGGCTTTTATTTTGATATTTATTTAACAATGATAGAGCAGCTCTTTTCCTGTGGGCTGCACAAAAAGTTGAGGATGTGTTCAAAAGAAATTACCTGCTATTGATTTTATTCTACATACTGTTCCACTTCCATACCACTGCTCCACCAAGTGCTTTCCTCCTGTGCTTTCAGCCCTGTGCTGCACGTGGTTGTCAGGAGCTTAACTCCAGCTCAGTGGAAGTGCAAAGCAAAGCAGCTGGTTTTCACCAGTTGTACAGGATTGGCAGTCAAAATTACTGAGTTCCCAAGGACATGATTTAACCAGGACTGGGGATACATGCCCTCAGCTTCAGTGGGTGCAGGCATGTGCCTGAAGTCAAGAGTACATTTAATTTACCAAATTAGCTCAAAGCATGAGGCTGAAGGACTTCAGAAGCAGCAGCATGATGTTCTCTGGCCTGTGTTACATGGGCACTCAGGGGTTGTAATCACACTTGCCCTCACTGTCAGCTACTTTGTGAAGTAGCACAAATCATGTGAGATGCTGTGAGGAAATCTGTCCCCCCAGTGTGTGTGGGACGAGGGTGTTGGGACAGTGGTCCTGAGCAGACTGCTGGGATTGGGCTCACTATGGGCTCACTATTGGGCTCCTATGCCAGTGCTCATGGCCAGCAGGAACCAGTGGAACAAAAACAGATGAAAAGCAGAAATAAGTGCTCAGCTTTTATGAAAATTTGCACTTTTTTTTCCTCTTAACTCTTTGTTGTCTGTCTTGTCCAGGAGGATCATACAACATTGCCTAATAGATACTGCTTCTTAGCCACCATTCATTTCCCAAGAGAAACCAAACTACAGCATTTGTTATTGTAGGAAAGTTAATCATTAAGATCTAAGGGTTTTTACATCACCTTCGTTTTAACTCAGAATATGTAAAGTATATCCAAACCCTTCCATTTAAGGTGATGGATTACCCTGTGCTTGGCTGCGCTGTCTGGATTGGTTGGAATTTTTTGCAATTACTATTTTACACAGCATCAGAGTATCTGTGAAGTGGATATCAATTGAAACATATTTTGTTCTTCAGACTTGCTTTTGCAGGTTTCACAAAACATTTAATTAGTGATAATCAGCTTTTAACCAGCCAGAGCACACCGATGCCTCTCTCCCCCATGATTGTAGGCATAGTCTGTACTCCTCAGATAAATTACTTGCAGTCTGGATAATGTCCTAGCCAGCAGGAAAGGGAAGAATAAGGATGTCAATTGCATGGGGAGTAAAGAAGGTGTTGTGTATGCTGTGGTTTCAGTGAAGAATATTATTCTTCTTTACTTTTCAGAATGGTGAACTTGGAAACCAGCTGGAGATTGCAAAGTCTCCTTTCCCTTGAGGTTGGTGGTCAATGGTCATCATCTACCACACCTAAGGACACTAGAAGAGCTCCACGCTAACTTCTGTAAGGTCTGCTTCACTATGGAAGATCAAATGATTTTCTGGCTCAGGTTTCGTGATGTTCGGCATCTGCCTTGGACCTGGAATTTGGAAAAGGGATCGTCTCTGAGGCACGGTTAAAAGACAGAGAAACCAGCCCCAGACAATGAGCACTTTAAGTAGCACTGGAATATTACTCAGCTTAACAACAGTGTCTGTTACACTGGATTTTAGTTTGCACGGTGGTCTGATGGCTTGGTCCTTAAGCAGCAATTTGACTCTGAACCAGAGTTTGCCTACATCTGATCCTCTCAACACCTCTGAGAAGGGCGAAGTCTCTCGGATGTCCGTGAGGGAGAAGAATTGGCCAGCCCTCCTGATCTTGGTTGTCATCCTGCTGACCATTGGGGGGAACATACTGGTAATTATGGCTGTGTCCTTGGAGAAGAAGTTGCAGAATGCCACAAACTTCTTCCTGATGTCGCTGGCAGTAGCAGACATGCTGGTGGGTATCCTGGTCATGCCCGTGTCGCTCATTGCAATCCTGTACGGTAAGTGCCTTCCCTCCTAGTTTGAATATTTGCTTGCAAATATTGGAGTCCCCCAACGCTGCAGCAACCTGTTGTGCCCGATTTTCCCTGTGGTGGTAGCTTTGGGAGTGTCTGTGTGTCCTTGGTCATGTGTCTGTGCTGAGGTTTGTTCTCTGCTGGGAGCAGAGCTTGTGTCCCTGCTGCCAGGAATGACCTGTGGATAACGTCAGGCTGGGGGGTTCTGATTGCTGAGGCCACCAAGAGGATCTGAGACAGCAACTCAGCTTTTTACCTTTCGGTTGGATTGCCCCAAAACTGATCTAGGACACAAAAGCTCACAGAAAAGCTGAGGAGAGAGTTCACTGCTCATGACCTACCCAGCTCTAAGCCAGGTCAGGATCTGTCCTGGAGCTCCCACTGCTGCGATCAGTGGGATTTGAGCACAAATGGGGATCAGAAAGCAGGTTTGCACTAGTAGATTTGGTATTCAGATAAAAGCTTTCACTCCTGGCTTGCCTTGTGCCTTCCAGGGGGTTATTTTGCCTTTCAGTGCCTCAGTTTCCCTACCTCTAACCTGAGAATATGCTCTGTTTTAAAGCACCCAGAGGCCTGCCTGTACAGGTGTAAACATTTATTTCTCCCCATATTAGGGTCAGTGTGTTTGTGATGGAGTGGGGTATCTCTCCTGTATTCAAGTGTGGAATCACTGTTAGCACTTCAAAGAAGTAAAATATCAAATACATCTAACTTTCATCTAGCTGAGACTCCAAATCCCTTTGTTCAGTATGGTACTAGGAGTCTCCATCCCTGGACATTTCAAAGGGGTATTTTGTTCTCCTTTGTATCTCTGATCATCATGTTTGTATACTCATGTATCAATTTTATAATCTGTGTATTTCAAAGACAAAATTTGTTAATTTTTGAAGTCTCTTTTCAGATTTTCCTAGAATGGTATTTTAATATCAATATTTCTTGGAAACAAATAATGCTGTTTACTTACAAATTTGATTAGAAATTGGTTTACTGTCCTATAAAGTAAAACATAGGGATATTTATATGACTTCTTCACCTGCCTAAATGAGTAAGTAAGTCTGGCAGAGATTAATTTCTAAAGCACATTGATCAAGCATACATCATTCCAAAGCTTATATAACTTGTCCACAGTGAATTAAATCAATATGTGATTTAGGTACAGGCCTAGCTATGGAGATCTTATGCACAAAAATCTTTTATTTTGAACTGTCAGAATAGTTTCATCTCTAAATCTTGTGTGTATTACAACATGTGTATTTTATTTTTAGCATTTTACTCCAGCTCCCTGGAGCTTGAAAGGGAGCATATAAATACTGAATTATGTGACAGACCTCCACTTGCATAAATTCTGTGTTAGCCAGTGACTCTAAAAAGGTGAATTTATGGAAGTGGTCTTCCTACATTCATACTTTCAAGGTCTTTGGAAACTAATAGAAATGGATTTTCTGTTCTGCCTAGAAAATGATTACTTAAGGTAGTTTAAAGGTGTAAAGCATGCCACCCTTTTCACAGCAAGAAAATATCACTGATTTGAAGAGGCATTGTAATTATTCCCCTTTTTTGCCAGAAAACCAGTACTGGCTGTTGATAGCCCAAACATTTCCCCACAGAAAAACAGTGCTCCATAGTTTTGGCAAAAACTGTAATTTCAGGACAGGCATGAAAGATTTGTGGAAAAACTTTGAGAAATGAAGCTGCTGGGGCAGTGCTGGGTGCTGGACCAAAGCAGGCATGTTGCCTTCAGCCTTTGGGAGGGAGGGAGGAGGAAAAGTTCCATTTGGGGAAAAATAAGCCCCAGAGGAACTTGTGGCTTGATCTGAGTAGGACCCCAGTGAAATATATTTTTTAATATTATTTAAGCTATTTGTGGAAGTAAGGAGGGGGAAAATGTTCTTACATCAGCAGAATGCTTGTGAGATAACAAGGGTGCATGGCCATGGACTGAACAGGGAGAGTGTTACTGCTTGGAAACATCACTGTGAATGTTCAGTCATTTTTAGTCTGTATATTTTACCTTGTTCATGCCATACAGTCTACATAATCTTACGCTGGGCTGTTTCAAAGGCTGCCATGTGCTGTGCTGAGAAGTGTGTGCAGCACATCTCTTCCAGATTTGTAGAAGTCACTTTTAATTTGTGTAATCAGAAGGGAACCTTAAAAAATACATATAACAAATAGAAGAATAAAGAAATTACTTTCAAGTTTCCACATCAGCTCTCTCAGCCCCAAAGGTAAATTCTGGTTGACAGAGTAACTCATTTCAGAGCAGGCTCATTTCCTTACTTTTGGGCTAATAAGGTAAATGAAGTAGATTTCACTTTGAGCATAACCAGAAAATTGAATACACACCCTCTACAAATAGTTCTGGTTTTCAGTGGTTTTCTTAATTAAAAGAAGGAAAAATCAAGTTGTAAGTTAATTCAAGAGTCTTATTATAAGGGAAGGGACAGCAAGAGGCAGCATGATGGATTTTCCACCAATTAATCAGGACTTGGATATATTTATCAATTAGTCTGTAAGTGTCTTACAGTAATCGATGAGCTGCATTTGACAACTGAGAACATTTTCCCTGGCATGCAGTTCCTAAAGAACTAAGCAAATTAGTATGCTAATTAATAAGCATGTACTGGGGAGAATAAATGAGAACTGTACACAGCATTTCATCTCAGTGGAGACATGCCTGATTAATTAAGAATATTGGTATTTTTATAAAAATACTGATAGGGCACCAGGTATCTTACACATGATGGAGCTTCAGACAGCAGGTGGGGTTGTCTCCTCACCTCTGAGCACCTGGGGGACAAGCAGCAAGTGGGTTTGCATCATGTCGTGTGCTATGAGCAAGAAAGAGAGGGCTGGTGAAGGAATGCAAGAGAATCTCGTCAGCTGATCTGAGTGGATGTTGCAGAGGATATTAAGCTTTTTTGGTTCTTGCAGGAGGTTCACAGCTGCCAATAAGTTGCCAGAGTGTTGCCCATAAGCAGCCAGCAGACCCCTCTGTGACTCCCAGCTCAGACTCCCTCTTCCCTTTGTGATGCTGGGGGCTGACGCAGCTTCCAGGGGCTGGTGTTGGACACAGCATTCATCAGCCCCAGCTGCCAGAGCAGATTTACACCCACATTATTGTTATTATTGATAATTACCATCATTATGGTGTGGTGACAGAGATGTGCTGAGCGCCTGGGCAGACTTTGGTGCTGGTTTCCCTGCAGGGGGGGAAGCAGTGCAGTTCAGCACATCGCTGTGACCTTCAGGTACCTAGAAATGATCAGGCATTTTAAAGACTGCATCAAGTCATGGGTTTAAATGTCTCTTGACTACACCAAGTTCCAGCTGACAGCTGCATTACTTTCAGAAATTATTATTTATTCCTGTTAGTTTTAAATGTGCAGTGTTTCTGTTTGTGCTAAGTAACCACTACAATCTATTCTTCTTCTAGGGTGTGAGTGAATGGAAACTCCTACACTGCTTCCACTGTGTCATAAATTCAGAGATGGGATTATTTTCTTTCTCTCCAATGACACCTTGTACCTGGGGTGTGTGCAGTGAAATTTATATCCAACAGGAAGTGTTAGTTTATCTTTTGCCATTGGTAGGATCCATGGGCTGCTATACTGCGTGCTCACCCAGCAGCATTTATTCTTTCCAAGTCCCTAAGCTTTCTTGTAATCTCAGCTAACCCAAACAATTCTGTGAAATCTGAAAACCTATTACATCATTATTCACCCTCTTTCCAGATTATTAGATACTTACGAAACTTTAGTTGAGATACTGAGTGTCCTGTTACTGAATTTTCTCCACAAGAACAACTGCCTCTTTACCTGATGTGACAAATGGGATTAAGTTGTGGCATATCTGTGTTGCTGTTGGGAAAGAAAGCTCTGTATGATGTGCCTAAATCCATAGAACAGCTTTTCTGCTACCCAAGGTTTAAACTGTGCTTAGAGTGAGAGGAGGGGGGGAATACTAAATACATACATTCTGTATCTCATTGAATATAGGTCCCTGGTTGTAAAATAGCTTGAGGCAGCTAAATGTTAACTTGCAGGATTTTTCAGAGCCGCTGAAAATGTGCCACCCTATGATGATTCTCTGCTGGATCACGTTTGGAAACAGCATTAGGAACCTACACAGCTTTGGCTTGCAGTGTTGGAAAACTGATGGCTTCTGGTCAAGTGAGAGTCAAAGACTGAAGAGCTGAAATCAGCACAAGAGCTCAGGACTGGAGAGGGTGATGATGTCTATCAAGAGGAGGGACTGATGATCCACACCCTTTCTCAGCAGTGATTAAATCTATTAAACCTATATTTGCATCACCCTCTTCAAAAACATTTGAGTCAGAGCATTTAATTGTCATATTGAAAGCTGGATTTGCTCCACACACATAAATTTCCTCTTGATTTAGTTTTTGATTTTGTCTGAGATTATCCATCCTTTATGTCTGGTTTTTTTTTTTTTTTATCTAGTTTATTTTAATTTTTTTTGTTAGACTTTTAATGGTGGTCAACAAATTCTGGAAGCCAGATGAGTAAGGAAAGTGTCATTATCTGAGGAGTGCAAAGCACTTTGAAGGAAAGACCACGTTTCTCCATGGTAGTTTAAAGTCATCTTCTCGCTAGTTCTATTAAGGCAGAATTGCTTTTAAAAATTGTCAGAGCAATTTAACTTATTGTAGCCTTTTGTTTTTCTTTCTCATTATTTTGATGTGTGTTTTAGTGACATCTTGTCTGAAAATCTCTTCAAGATCTTTATATGCTTCTGTTATGAAAGATGAGAAATAAAATTTGATGTTTGCAGAATGGCACCAATATGAGATAGATACAGTCATTGGACTTTATATATGTTTGTTTTTTTTCCTAACTGATGAAATTTCACTTGTTCATCCTTGCAGCAGCCCCATCCCCAGGACTTTCTCAACGGGCAGGCTGTGTATGGCTCTAGTGCAATATTCTCCATTGAGATAAGTGCTTCCTATGAAATTAGCAAATTAACATTCGATTAATGTTTTCTATTCCTTTCCATGTCTTTCCTTTTATCTCAATTAATTTCGTAGAAAAATCTGCTAGACACTCTTCTAGAGGCATGTTGTGAGTTTATAGTAGTTATGCTAAAAACCGAAAACCAGGTTGTTAGCCCTGATGGTGAGTTGAGGGTTGACCAGGAATGAAGAGGAAGCAGAAATGGTGTAAAACCATGGATGCAGTTAAGCTGTTTATGTGGGCACAGGTGCCCCACGATGCAGACACGATGCTTAAAGCCGTTTTTATTTTCAGTGAAGTAAAATATCACCAATAACACTTGCACCGATTGTTCCTCTTGTCTGGGAATGTTCATTTAACTGAAGTGGCTTCCTCATACACACCTTTCTAATCCCTGCTGGAGTTTTAGTCCTCACCAGGCTGACTAAGAGAAAGATCCCAAACTGAGCAGCCCATAAAACAGGAGAAGGGTTGTCCCCACCTCCTCCATGACGAGCTGCAGCTGTGCTGTGTAAAACAAGCACTGATGGTGAGGTTCTGTTCTGGGAAGGGGACAGTAAACATTCTCCTGGTCAGGCTTACATCTTGTCTTGCTTTCTGCTGAATTCCTCCTTTTGGGAATGGATCTTGGTTACAAGACTTGAAAGCAATGGGGCAGTGCATAAATAAATTGTATAAATTCAGGAAAGCAAGTCAGGGAAGTCTCTGCTGTCTGCAAACAGACTGTTGTCAATTTGGAGGTGTATTTTAATAGTGTTAAAGTATTAAATGGATTTGTATTTGTCTTTTGAACAATGTCTCAACCTAAATTTGAATGGAGCAAGAAGAGCTACAGAGTGTACTTGGATCTTCTGGAAAGCAGTTTTTCCTCATTTCTAACACCTGCAGGTGTTAGATCTGCCTGTCTTCTGGTAGATTAAATTATAACAGTGTTCAGCACTGACCTGCCATCACTTCTTTGGGCAGATGGCCATGTACTTATTGGTAACTGAGCTTTTCTTCCTCCTTATGCTGTACCTGTGCAGACAGATTTAAAAATCTTGTCACTTTTAATGTAATAAGAACCAGCCCCACAAAAATTCAGATTTTAGTAAAACCTTGGCTTTCATTGAACATTCCTCCTAAGAAATTCTGTGGGGACCTGGCATGTCTTCTATGTGGATGGTATGGATGCTCTTTTCTCTCCCTCAGGACAAGTCTGTCCTTCCCTTAGCCGGCCTCTGTGCTGGTGAATTTGCAGTATTATCATGGCAAGCAGGACGTGACAGCCAGAATACATATCTGAGAGGAGCAGGCAGTTCACCCCAAGTGTCACCTGAATTGCATCCTCAGAGCCCTGTGCCCCACCAGAAGGGACAGCAAGGCAGCACCTGGTGGCAGCAATGCCCCAGGTTTGTCTGGCAGCATGGTTTGAGTCTTTCCTGCACCCCATGTGAGAGCACAGCCACCCCAAAACCTGACCCAGACCAGGCTCTTTGCTGTGTCCAGGGTGTAGGGGCCAAAGTCAGAGCAAGTGTTTGGGGCTACAATTGCTGGGTGCAGCCAGCTGCAATTACCCCCTGGCCTCTGGATATTTTGGAATCCTTCCCTGCCCTGCTGTGTGTTTTCTGGGGCAGCGTGAGTGCCCTGGGGTTAAGAGCTGGCCATAAAAAGTGCACATGTCCCTCCTGGCCTCTCAGCAAAGCTTTGGTATGTGCTGTCCTGCCCAGCTATGGACAGGAAGGTCACGTTCCACAAGGGGCTCTGCTCTGCACTTTCCTTCTGGAAATGGGTGCTGTTATTCTTCATTAGATGCTCTGGAAGATGCTGCTTTCCTCAGTGCAGCCCCTCTCCCCTGTAGCTGCTCTGCTGCAGCTCGTGGGAGCCCGGGCTCTGCTCTGCCATGCACCTCTTGATGTCTTGTGGGAAAATAAGGGTCTCTCTCTGGCTACTGCTCTGGAGGCATCCCGAGGAGCATGTCATGGCAAATGAAGCTGTTTAGAGTGCTTTTATCTAATTGCACTTTCGATTGAGACTGTGGAAGTGTCTCCATGTCTGCAGCACTTTTCCTGGGAAGTTGGAAGAGGGATGGGGCTATTCTCATTGCTGGTGAAGTACTTTGTAGCATATGGAGCCCAAGTCCCCATTCTGCCAGCTTTATGGTGATCTGTTGCAAAAAACTAAAAATTTAGCCAGTAGCACAATAATCACCAGGGTGTATCTGACTATATTTTAAGCCATAAACTAGAATTTCTGTGTTGAAAATATGTATTTTTTCTTGCAAAAATCTGGCAACTTTCACATTTATTCTATTGCTAAATGAAAATTTAATTTCCAACCCTGTAACACTGCTGGGAAGCTCAAATTCTATCCAGCGTGCCCAAACAGCAGAAGCCACTCCAGGGCCATGAAGCTGCGAGATCCAGACTTCAGTTTGCTGGTGTGTGCCATGAGCTGGGCAGCTCTCTGGAGCTTGTGGGGAGCAGCAGCTGCTTGCTGTGGTCAGGTTCTTTCCTCCAAGGAAAGGGCTCAGTGTGTCCATCTGACAACAATGCCAGCAGCTCTGCCTGGGCCCCCAAGGTGCCCCATCTCACACAGGAGCTGTTCCTGCAACTTGCTGCCCATTGCTCAGGGTCATTTGCATGTGGCAGGCCTTTTCTTATTTCCGGGAGGAAAGCAGAGGACCCCTTGCCTTAGGTCTCTGATCTTGCTTCCTCTGCTGCTGGGCTCTGGATGCTACAGGGGAGGGTTTGTGGTGCAAAGATAATTTCACCAGAATAAATCAATGCCAGCTTCAGAGAGCGTTTCAATGGCACCTTGCTTACTGCTGTGGGTAGGGCCTTGCAGTTTTGTGCCAGGTCTTTGTGACTCATCTGAGCTCAGCTATTATCCACATTTTGGAGCATTAGTTTATAGGACTCTGAAGACCAAATTCTGCTGTCAGATAAAAAGGCAGAACAGTTGCTATTTAATTTTTTTACCACCTGCCTCTTTCTTGTTATTTCTTCACCCTGTGCCACCTGTATATCATCCAGCTCTGACTTTGGCTG